TACTGCAAAGTCAGATGGAGTTTTTTTTCTCCTGTTCCAATTATCGGTTGGCTGAGAATTCATGTTTATGCCACAAACTTCTTTTTTTGCAAAAAGGAAAAGTTATTAAAGCTTTTTAGCTGTAAGTAAACACACAAAGGATCTTAGAATGAGTAGTTTTTGTTGCATACTTTTTTCTCCCAGAAGTTTTTTTGGGGTTTCGGTTTTTCTGTTGGTCCGCACATTCTTGTCCACCTGAAAATCGGATTCTTTCAGCGTAATGGCGGCAGTGATGTTGACGTTGGTGCAAAATTCTTCTGGAAAAATTGATCTTCCCAATTTATCTTGAAGTAAAATGTGGAAAGGGGCATGCTGGTTCCTAATATGCTATAAAACCGAGTAGTATGTGATATATAATTCAGAGACATTGAGAAGCTCAGACGTCCTGTTCGAAAGGAGGTCTGGGTCTATGAAGAATTTATGAGGAGAGTTTCCTCTATTCATGAACAGCCATTCCCAGCTCAATTATTCTCATTCCTTTCCTCTTCTCAGCTGCCTCTCACCACTCTCCCTGCCACTCTGGCTCCAGCCCGCTGCCTCCCCCCTCCTCCACACACACACACACCCCTCTCCCAGCTCCCCGCACACAACCTGCTCTGTAAATTATTCCCCGAGAAATCCGTCCTCGGCACCCCTACCTGTGAAGATCAAACCCCGTACCAGCTCCGTGGCTAATTGGCGTCTGTAAGCAGCAATGACGCTTGAGTGGCCCCCTGCTACCTGGGCTCCCGATGTGACGAAGGTCAGGCCTCGGTCAGGGCTTGGGAGCGCTGATTTATCAGGCTGAGAAAGTGGGCCCGGCCCTGGTTACACGGACAGGCCTCTCATCCTCCTGGGTGTTCCTGCTGCCTCCAGTAGCTCGGCTTCCAGATAGTCTTTCTTGTGGTGGGGTTAAGTTATACTGTCGCCCAGGAGGCCGTAGGTGTCAGCAAAGGTCTTGTTGTGCTTCTTTTTTATTGAAAGCTCTTCCTTTCTCTTGATGCTCCCTCCCAATCACACGCCTAAGTAATGGTTTTGATGCTGAAGTGCGCATCAAAGGCTGTTGCCATTCACTTTATTTTTCTCTTGTTTTGTTCCTTTGGGTTATGTTTTCCCATTTCCCTAATTTTGTCCGTCTCCTGCAATATTTATCTCCTTGCCTGCTTGCCATTTTAGGATTTTCTCGAAGTCTCACTTTTTACCTGGCACTTTCATGCGGCCTTGTTTTTACCTTGCCAGTGGGAATTTGGGTACTGTGCTCAGGAATGCAGTCCATGCCCCTTTAGGGCAGAAGTAAGAGAGATTGGGCAACTAAGAATATTTAAACATGGAGGCACGTTCATTTTTCTTATGGAGCCAAGCCTTTGAAGAGAATTGTGGAAACACAGACTCTGACTTGAACAGATGGGATCATATTTAAAAATGGAACTAAAATTGTTACATCCATCCATCAGATTTTCAAGCCGAAGCACCTGACCCAGATTGTTGCGGCAGTTTGACAGACTGTCTACGCAACTAGATTAAACCCCAAATATCTGTTTAATGTCTGATTCTAGTTATATATATATATAAAATGCTGTATTTGTGCTGCTGTTAGTTTTTTCTTGCTCTGCCTCTGTGCTGCTGCTGTGTATTTGTGTCATAACCCTAACCCTAACCTCTGCCTGCTTGTTGTTGCAGGGGGCTCAGTATTACGTACAGGTGTTGGCCTACAACATGAAAGGCTGGGGACCTGCACAGCGGTCCATCCCCTCCTGCGCAGAACCTTCCAGTAAGTCTGCTCCCTTTCACTGTCCTTCAGCTTTTCTGCGGCTCTTCGTTAGGCCTCTGTCCGACTCCTCGCAAACGTGTT